AAATGAAGTCCTGAAGAAATTCTGCATGGAGAATTGTAAACCAGTGGACCTGCCATTGGTCCCTAATCTAAAGTTGTCAAAAAATGATGCTGGTGAGAAGGTTGATGAAGGATTGTACAGAAGCTTGATAGGTTGCCTGTTATACTTGACAGCAACTAGACTAGATTTAATGTATGCCACTAGCTTGCTGTCCAAATTTATGAGTCAACCAACCAAGACACATTTCAAGACTGCTAAAAGAGTGCTGAGATATGTGTAGGGCAGCACTGACTTTGGGGTATGGTTCAGGAGATCAGAAGACTTCAAATTGGTTGGTTTTTCTGACAGTGACTGGGCTGGTTCAACAGATGATATGAGGAGCACTTTAGGATATGCATTTTTCCTAAATCATGGTGCTATCTGTTGGCTTTCCAGGAAGCAAGAAACCGTGGCTCAATCCACAGCAGAAACAGAGTATATATCTGCTGCTGCTATTGTGAATCAAGCCATTTGGCCGAGGAAGATCCTTGAAGACTTGAAGCTGAAACAGATCAAACCTACTGGCATCATGTGTGACAACCAATCTGCGGTAGCTATGGCCAAAAATCCAATGCATCATGGACGCACAAAGCATATCAAAATAAAGTTTCATGCAGTGAGAGAGGCTAAACAAAATGGTGAGGTGGAATTGATGCACTGTAGGGGTGAATTACAAGTGGCTGACATTATGACTAAAGCTGTCTCCAAAGCCAAGTTTGAAGAATTCAGATTCAGACTTGGTGTTTCTGGCCAAACATCAAGGAGGAGTGTTAAATTCTGATAATTGGTTGGAAATGTAGCAGTTTATCAGCTTGGTTTTTGAACATGTTTTGGCACCAAATAGAAATGCAATCTGACATCTGTCATTTTGTGAGGCAGCCTAGTATAATTCATTTTGTAATGCTTAGATGTGTACTGCCAGGTTATATGGGATGTGTTTGTAATGGTTGTTGTAAGTTGGTATTAATGTATGGCTTTAGATTAATGTAGGATAAAATATGTCTGCAAAGTTGTTGTCAACAGTAAATTATTTGCTTTATTAGTTATGTCGTAATCTCAGTAGGTAATGCAGAAAGATAACTCTCTCCATTTCTCAAGTTGCTCTCTTTCTTTTCTTTGTATTCTCCGGTGTAAGCAACAACAGAAAGGTCAAGTGTAGAAAGAGACGAAAAATTTGCTATGAATAGCGGAGGAAAGTGGTGGAGCTGACAACCTGACAATTTTAATTCTACCAAAGAACCAAGTTTGTTAGTCACCATCAACCAATAACTAGAGGCTTTATTAAGGTTAACACCATTGAAATCAAGATGGTTTAGCAAAGCAAGATCGGACAGCCAAAAAAGATTCTCAATAGAAAACTCACTGTAACCATTACAAAAGAGGTCAAGATATTCCAAATTTGAGAGATTTCCAAGTTGACGAGGAATCACTCCCCGAAATCCACTTCTAGAGAGATTAAGGTAACTTAAATTCCCCTTAGAACCAAGAAAGCTAGGAATCTGAGCACCTTCAAAATCATAACCGCTTAAGTCCAAGTGAATCAAATGTTTAAAGTCAAGCAATGGAAAGAAATTTATCTTAGCACCCAATTTTAATCTCTCACAGGCTTCATATTCCACGTCTGGTGAGCCAGGTCTCAGAGGAAAAGGATTTCGACGGTGGAGCTCAAGGATATGGCCTGTCAAATTGTCACAGACAACACTAACCCATTTACAGCAATCGCCATCACCAGTCTAGGAGACGAGCCGCTTCGAAGTATCGTTGAGATCATGCTTGAACCGTAAAAGTGCTTGTCTTTCTCTCTCAATGCAACCCAGGTAATAGCTTCCATTGCAGAAGCTAATATTGATGGTTGCTATGGTAATAATTAGCTGAAGCAGAAGAATGGCAGAAACAGCACTCATGATGGTTTCCTTTGAATTAAATTTGTAACAAGAAGGAAATGTGCATGAGAACTTCCCCAACAGGATGCTATTTGTAGTGTCATTCAAAATCGAATTGACGCGGAAAATTATCCATATTGTCCCTGTGGAATACTATTACCAGAGTAGACTATAAGTCAATTAAAGAGGACAGCTAAGCTTTGATTTTTCTAACTTATTTGCAAATACAAAAGAAAGTAAACAGCTAACCAGGAAAGTTTATCATTGGGAAGCTAAAAAATCTAAAGGATTCCATATAGAAAGAAGATAAACAAGACTAAGGTAATATATAAAGATAAACCTTCATAAAATTCATGAATCTGTATTGGATTGATCCGATTATTGATTTCATAATTACGCTTTGGTTACTATCAAAAATGGTTTTTTTAGAGTAATATATCAATCAATGCGTCTAATATCAGTTGACCAAGACTTAATAGCACTATTGTATGAACCTGGAATTGGAGTGGCAAGAGAGGGTAGTAAGGCTACCGAAGTATACTAAGGAGAGGCTGGATAGGCAGGAGAAGCAACTTAGTTGCTGAGTATGCCGGGACAAAGAGATAGCAAGAAATAGAGAGAAAGAATACAAAAGTATTTGATATGTATATTTTATGTAGAATGTGTCACAATTTATACAAGTGTAGATGTAACATGTAACGAAAGCAAATAATGTAAATAAATATAGGATCAATTTACAGAAGGTAAATAACCAATTGCTAGCTAACTATATTTGGATCATATCAATTATCTCCACTAATTGTGCATTCATATAATTCTGGATTGTCAACAACTATCATTGTTGTCTTTTCGTTTTTCTTTTCTCGCGTCTTTGTCTTCCTTTTACTTATTCAATTATTGAAAACTTTTCAAGTCTTTTACTTGTTCTACACGTCAAATTTTATTGTTTATATACATCAGTACATTAACTTTTACTTGAAATAGAACCACGGATGTTGAGCTTGTTGACACTAACCGGAAAATAGCATAAAGCTACTACCATTAGAGAGGCAATGAACTTTAGTTGGCTAGTATGTTGTATTTGTTTATTTATGTTTTGTGACCGGGGGTGTCTGAGCCAGTTTATGCGTACTTCGACTAATCTATTAGGGCCTTGAAGTTAACGATTGGGTATACCTCTAATGGTCATCCCTATTAACAATCGAGGTGACTTAAACTCAAGACATCTTGAGCAATATACCTAAAAGTCCTTGTTCATTGGGCTTGTAGGGTGTTCTATGGCCCTAAGGATTAGACAAGCTCTAATGTGCTAGCCTTTAGGGTGTTCTGTGACCCTGTGGATTAAACATGCTCTAATGTGGGCTTGGATACCTTAGTTACCTAAAAAAAATGAAATAACTCATGGACCACCTCAAAGTTCATTAATTTGCACACAAGTTATAGACAGAATTAGAAATATTTGCCTTCCTTGGTCCATTGGGCTTGTAGGATGTTCTGTGATCCTGAGGATTAGTTAGACTTTCTTGATCCATTGGGCTTGTAGGGTATTTCGTAGTCTTGAGGATTAGGCAAGCTCCAATGTGAGGGCTTATAGGATGTTCAATGGTCCTGAGGATTAAGCATAATCCAATGTGAGCTTGGATACCTCAATTACCTGAAAAATGAAATTAACTCATGGACCTCCTAAATGTTGATTAATTTGCACACAAGTTATGTGCCTTTCATTTCCCTCAACTTGTTTATATATAGCTTCTCATTGCACTCTTGTTTCGATTATCATAGAGCCGATACTATTCAATGGCTACCTTACCCCACCAAAAATGTTATTGGCTGAGCCAGGGTAACCGTGTCACACAGTCAGCAACTATTACCACCCAACCTAAGCCCAGGTCGAGTAGTCCTAACCAGCTAATCCTCGAGCCACGGCTAGCAACTTCTTCTCCTTTGTTCAATGACCCAACTTTGCAGTCAACATGGGCTCATCGAGCTTGGGATGCAACTGGGTGCACCACAGTGCTTGTTTGCCTAGCCAAATCTATGGTGGCTGCAGCCTCTTCTCATGTCTGGCTCGAGCCCATGTTGGCAGGCTTCGTTGGTTACATTTAGGTTGATCTTGGGTCCGCTGTGTACCACTGGGTTATTGATAATTATGGTGATGCCTCAACACAAATTTTTGGTGCACAAATTGATGCTTTTCATGGTCACCATAGGTGGCCCTGGACAATCACCAGGCACCAATATGCTAATAATTTGCATGCCTTGGCTAAAGCCATAACCTTGACAGTGCTACCTTTGGCTATCATGTGTAATGATGGAACGATTAATGGATTCGTGGGTGTCTACGCAGGCTGCATTGTGTTTAGCCAACAATTTCATGCTTGGGTTCATGGTACTAAGAGCAAGCTGCCGCAATTGGTGGTGGCATTGCAGGATGCAGTGGTGCTTGTGTCACCATCACAACATGCTGCACATCACAGGCCGCCTTGTAACAACAATTATTGCATCGTGAGTGGAGTCTGGAATGAATTTTTGGATAAGCATAAGGTGTTTGAAGTATTGGAGATGGTCTTGTTCTCCAAACTTGGTGTTCGACCCCGATCCTAGAGTGAACCTAGCTCTGAGTGGACTAAAGATGTTGAGACTCCATCTCAAGTTGCAGCGCCCTGATAATTTTTATTTTTTTTTGGCTAGACAAAAGTTAATAAATAAAAATCTGTAGGGAGACAATTGTGGTGTGACCTGAATTTAGAACACACCTTCTGCGTTTAAAAGATTACTCAGGATAAAGAGTTTCTCTTCAGCGAGGAATCAATAAAAATCGGCAGAAATTGTGATGTGATTACCAGAAAATAGGGTCCTTCTACTCATTATTAATAATGATCCTTGTATATTTGTTCTTAAGTTAATTATGTCTACCTATGTGAAACTTGGAGGGCTCTGAGCCACTATTAAAAAAGTTAGTCAATGTTGGGAAATGATTACGGTTTCATAAATTTCTTAAACTTTATTAAAAATTGTTTTCCCGTTTCAGGGAATGATCTCTTAATACTTTGTTTCATGATTGAAGTTCGAAAACTAATAGAGAGCTCTGAAAAAGATCTAGCCACATTTTCTTAGAACACTGCTAACTTTGTTTCCTCGGTGATCCAGCATATGACAATACACATACCTCCATCTTTTGTTTACAAGCAAAGGGCCGATTGAACTACAAAAGCCAACCACAAATCCAATTTCCATGCTAACATAGAACCAGTCCACTTCATGTTCATTACCATCACCATTTTCATAATCAAGCATTGGAGCATGATTGTGTGCAAGGATGCCGACGGGTGGAATCTGAAAATGTCCTGAAACTCTTGTTAAAATGTAGAGGTAGATGAAGAATTGCAGTGATTGTTTGCAATGATGCCGGTGAGAGGACTTGATGATGTCCTGGAAAAAGCATGAAGTGAAGAACATGCTTTTTAATTGTGAGAGACTCCAATTGAAGTTTGGAGTGAGAAGAGACCAACACCCAAAGAAGTGGTAGGTTGTATTTGTGATGCTCACATACTTGGAGGAGTAAGCTTGAAGATGAGGCTGAAAAAGTCTTGGCTGTAGGATTGGCAGCGTGACAGCAACATTGGCTGCAAGAAGAGCAGCAAGATTGGCAGCATGGTAGCAAGATTGGTTGCAAGTTTGGCTGCAGAGTTGGCAACAAGTTTGGCTGCAAGTTTAGCTGCAGAGTTGGCAGCAAAGCAGCAAGATTGGCTGCAAGTTTGGCATGAAAGCAGCAAGATTGGTTGCAAGTTTGGCATGAAAGCCATGAAGGCGTGAAGAGCCTTGAAGACATGATGAAGAACATGTTTTGAAGTTTCAACCAAAAGAATCAGAAGGAGTGTTGAAGTATGAATCTTTTGGTAGAGGCATGACCCAAGAATTTCAGTTTGAGATAAACTCAAATGGAAGTTATTTTCAGTTTTATTATTTTGTAACTTCTTGTACCTTTTGTTGTCAATTATCCCTTTAAAACTTATAAAAGGGAAGGTTAGATGTATGTTTTAATTGAGTTCAATTGATAAAATTGTTCTCCTTTTACACAAGTTCATCTTCTTCTTTATCTTTATGAAATTAGAAGCCTGAGAACTGTATTTCCTGGCTTCTATTTTCCAACACAAAGCAATGGTCAAGATTGAAAAGAAGTAGCAATAAAAAACGACAGCGTATGGTATTAACTCATACGACAGCGTTTAGTGTCTTCACAATTAACATAGGTTAAGTTCAAGTGGCTTAAGAAGGTCAAACTAGGAATACTCTGTGGGATTTCACCAAAAAGTTGGTTTACAGATAAATCAATGGACTCTAATGATCTCATAGCGCTAATACGCTCAGGAATTTTTCCAGAATGAAAATGGTATGACAAATTCAATGATTGCAACGCTTCTAAGTTTTGTCAATTCCTGTGGAATCTCTCTTAAGAAGTTATTGTTGGAAAGATCTATGATTCTCATCAAATTAAGAATCCTATTGTGTTCATCTGCTTTCCCTTTCATCTAAAGTAATTCATTTTTACGAAAATGCTCTGAAATCTTATAAGCTCCTGTATTACTGAATTAGGATGGATATTGTAAATAATTTCCTGCGGGATAGTAACCATGTAAGTGAAGTTATTGATGCATCTTGGTATAGTTCCTGAGATGTTGTTAAAAGCAATGTCTAAGATTTATACAGAAGCCAAATGACAGAGTTTTATCGGTAAGAGACCTTGAAACTGATTCAAACGAAGGTTGAGAATTGTCATTCTTGTAAATTCTTCACCGATCCATTTTGGAACATTTCCAGAAAACTCATTTTTAGCAATGTCAAGTACTGTACTATTAAGTTGATATTTCAGGGATAAAGGTATTGTTCCGGAAAACATGGCTCTTCTGCTTATTATTAATTAATGATCCTTGTATATTTGTTCTTCCGTTAATTATGTCTGGCTGTGTGAAACTTGGAGGGCTTTAAGCCATTGTAAAACAAGGTAATCAATGATGGGAAATGAGAATGAATTCATAAAAAATAGTTTTCCTGTTTCAGGGAATTATCGCTTAATACTTTAGTTGATGATTGAAGTACATAGAGCAACACACAGCTCTTTAAAAAAAAAAAAAACTGACCACATTTTCTTAGAACACTGCCAACTTTGTCTCCACGGTGATCTAAGAAATGATAATACACATACCTCCATCTTCTGTTGACAAGCAAAGGACCTATTAAACTCCAGAAGCCCACCACAAATCCAACTTCCATGCTTACATAGAACCAGTCCACTTCATGTTCATTACCATCATCATTTTCATGATCAAGTGTTGGCAGATATGCTGTACAATTATTAGAGAGTGGAGGTCCACAAAGTTCACTACCCATAAAACAAGATGCATCAAAGCTTTGTAGTTGAGTGCTTGAAGGAATTCTCCCAGTCAACTTGTTATGGGATAAGTTCAAGTGATTCAAGAACGTCATACTTGCCATACTCCCTGGGATTTCACCAAAAAGTTTGCTCATAGAGAACTCGAGGGACTCTAATAATTTCATGTTGCCAATAAGCTCAGGAATTTTCCCAGTGAATAAGTTGTAAGACAAATTCAGATTGACTGAGATTGAGGTACTTCAAGTTCTTTAAAGACCCAAGAACTCTAGGAATCTGAATTCCATGAAAATTATTATTGCTCAAGTCTAAGTAATTCAAATGCTTAAGATGAAGCAGAGAGGGGTTCAGTTTACCACCAAACATTGACCTTTTATAAGTGTCATAATCGGCAGCATCAGATGCAGGATTTCTAAGGTGGAGCTGAAGGACATGGCCTGTCAAGTTGTCACAGAAAACACCTGCCCATCGGCAACAATCTCCATCTCCACTCCAAGAGGCAAGCCAGCCGGAATGGTCAATGAGATCTTGCTTGAACGTCAAAGTGCTTCTCTCTCACTATCAATGCAATCCATGTAGGCGCTTCCATTGCCGAAGCTAACATTAATGGTTGCTATAGCAAGTAACTCGAGATAAAAGGCAACCAAAACACTCATGTTTTTTTTAATTGCAAATACACCTTTAACTTTGAAAAACAAGAAAATGTGCCGAGAATGTTACCATTGCCCCACTTTTTATGGTGACTTTTGCCTGCATATTTTTTGCACTGCATCGTAGTTATCTCTATGGAGTAGTTTCCAATATTTGGCAGCTGATTGTATGGATGATATAATTAGAATTAGTATGTCTGAGTATTCGAGGGGACACTTGCATTTTAGCCGGCCTTCGTTTTTTCAAATTTTCTCATGTCATTGTTGAAGTCAGTTACATATGTTGAACATATGTGGAGAATTGGAGACGACATTCTTTTTCAACTTTGGGGTTTGACCCCAGTCCTGGAGTAAGCCCAGCTCTAAGTGGACTGAAGAGGCTGGGATTCTTCAAGTTGCAGTGCCCTGATCATTTTTTTTTTTCTTTTTGTGGGTTTTGTTGAATCCACAGCCAAACACACGCAATAAAATAAAATATAAAAGTAAATAGGATACTTGATTTACCTTGGTTCGTTCCGATTAAGAAACTACCTCGAACATTCAAATAGAGATTTTGTATTAAGTTTCAAAACTCTGTAGCAATTACAATCTATATAATGGCAACTCACTCTCTCGTTCTGTCATAAACTTGGTTTCTCACTATTACATCATATAATAGAAAACCCTACCCTATTTGGGCCTACCCGAATCTAACCTAACATAGGCCCAAATAATAGTAAAACAATAACAAGTCTAATTACTAATCTGCAGGGTGTACATAAGGGGACATCAAACCCATGCAAAGTATGAACTATATCCAACAGGTTTGATGTGTTCATGGCCATTTCTTCTTTCGTTTTTATGGTTACGGTGAAGCAGGGAAAAAAAAAAAAAACAATATTGCTATTTTTCAGGATCAAGTCCTCTGCTAGACACAAGTTTATAGATAAAAATCTGCAAGGTAAAAGATTGTGGGGTGTCCGGTATTTAGAATTCACCTTCTTTGTTTATAAGATTACTCAGGACAAAGATAGTGTTATTAGTGTCCTCAGAAAAAAATGCAATGTATTCTTCCAGCAAAATTCCTGATGTGATTAACAGAAAACAGGGTTCTTCTGCTCATTATTAATTAATGATCCTTGAATATTTGTTGATCTTCAATTAATTATATCTAACAATGTTAAACTTGGGAAGGCTTGAAGCCACTAAAAAGCAAGTTAATCAATGTTGGGAAATAAGAATGATTTCATATATTCCTTAAACTTCATGAAAAAGTGTTTTCCTCTTTCAGCGAATGATTGCTTAATACTTTATTTGAATGTACATAAACCAACACACAGCGCTGAAAAAGATGTAGCCATATCTTCTTACAATACTACAAATTTTGCGTACAAGGCGATCCAGGAAATTACAATAGACATACCTCCATCTTCTGTAGACAAGCAAAGGATCTATAAAAACTGCAGAAGCCCATCACAATCCAATTTCCATGCTTACGTAGAACAAGTCCACTTCAGGTTCATTAACATCACCATTTCAGTAATAAAGTGTTGGAGCAAATGTAGTACAATTACTCCTGATTTGATTAACAGAAAACATGGCTCTTCTGCTCCTTATTAAATAATGATCCTTGTATATTTGTTCTTCCTTTAATTATGTCTGGCTATGTGAAACTTGGAGGGCTTTAAGCCATTGTAAAACAAGTTAGTCAATGTTGGGAAATGAGAATGAATTCATAAAAATTATATTCCTGTTTCAGGGAATGATCTCTTAATACTTTATTTCATGATTGAAGTACATAACAGACAGCTCCGAAAAAGATCTAGCCACATTTTCTTAGAACACTGCTAACTTCGTCTCCAAGGCGATCGAAGAAATGATAATACACATACCTCCATCTTCTATTCACAAGCAAAGGACCTATTAAACTCCAGAAGCCCACCACAAATCCAACTTCCATGCTTACATAGAACCAGTCCACTTCATGTTCGTTACCATCATCATTTTCATAATTAAGTACTGGCGGATATGCTGTACAATTACCAGAAAGTGGCGGTCCACAAAGTTCGTTGCCCATAAAACAAGGTCCATCAAAGCTTTGTGGTTGAGTGCTTGAAGGAATTCTCCCAGTTAACTTGTTATAAGTTCAAGTGATCCAAGAACGCCATACTTGCCATACTCCCTGGTATTTCACAAGAAAGTTTGTTCATAGAGAAATCGAGGGACTATAATAATTTCATATTGCCAATAAGCTCAGGAATTTTCCTAGTGAACAAATTGTAAGACAAATTCAATGATCCCAATGTTTTAAGATTTGTCACTTCCACAGGAATCTCTCCCGATAATTTATCGTTGGAAAGGCCTACAAGTCTTAAAAAATCGAGAATAGTACTATATTTAACCGCTTTCCCTTTCGTCACAGGCACTTCATTTGCAAGAAACTGTTCTGGGAATTTGACAAACTTAAATCGGAACTGAAAAAGTCGATGCGTCAAAAGAGGATGAATATGGTATACACTTGCCCTGAGATTCACTCATGTTCACCATGGCAGTGAAGTTCTTAATAAACTCTGGAAACAGTAAAAATCTTAAGGAACTGAGTGTGTTTATCACCATCAACTAGTCAGCTGATGATGCTCTGAGGTTAACATAGCTCAAATCAAGATGCTCCAATTAGTGAAGAAAGACCAGATAGCCACCAAAGATTCTCAACATATGAACTGTAATGATTCCTGCTACTACACATACTTGTAACACTTTTTGTTTTGTCACTAATAATACTTTCTGTTTTTTCACTAATAATGTACCATCATGGACTTTGTGGCATCAAAGATTAGGCCATCCCATCACATGATATTCTTAATAAAATTTCTATTATCAAACACTCTGATTTAGCAACTTTTATTTGTGATCTCTCCTTTGTCAGAACAACATCGATTACCTTTCCATCCTAGCATAACTCACTCTCACACAGCTTTTGAATTGATTCATATCAACATTTGGGGACCTTATAAAGTAGCTACACTTACAGGGGCACATTATTTTTTAACTATAGTTGATGATTTCAGTAGAGCTACTTGGACTTTTCTTCTAAATCATAAGAGTCAAGTAGTACATACATTGACTACATTTTTTAGAATGATTAAAAATCAGTTCTCCCTATCCCTTAAAAAAATCCAAACTGATAATGGAACTGAATTTCTTAATAAAGATTGTCAGAATCTTTTCCTTGAACATGACATTTTACATCAAAGATCATGCACTTATACACCCCAACAAAATGGATTAGTTGAAAGGAAACATAAACATTTGCTTCAAGTAGCCAGATCCCTTATGTTTCAATCAGCTCTACCTAAATACTTTTGGGGGGAAGCCATACTCACAGTTACTTATATCATTAACATGTTGCCCACTCCTGTTCTCAAATGGAAAACCCCTTATGAAATACTTTTCCATAAACCTCCGAATTACTTTTTCCTCAAAACATTTGGATGCTTATGTTTTGCTACTAACACACATCCACATAAAGATAAGTTTGCCCCCAGAGCTTATACATGTATTTTCCTAGGGTATAACACTGGTCATAAAGCTTACAAAATGTTTGATATTCATTCTAAAATAGTGTTTATGTCTAGGGATGTCATTTTTCATGAGCATTCTTTTCCTTTTAAACAAAGTAGTCCTACTTCAACAATTGTGTCTTTACCTCAGATTCCTATTACTGAAAATCATCAATGTACTCCTCCTAGTCATACAGAATTACCTTCTCCCCTTTTATCACCTTCATCACGTAACTCCTCTTCTATAGAATCTTCACCCTCACCAATTATACCTCCTCTTATACGATGCAATACCAGGACATCTAAACCACCTGCTTGGTTAGAGGATTTTGTCTCTAATGATCTTACTTGTCCATCAACTTCCACTGCCACTACTGCTCAGCCTGGTGTCTCTTCACCATATACACCTCCCATATTTCCATTTGTGCAGTCACCTCTTTTTACTTCATCATATATTTCCTTCTTGGCAAATGTATCTAATGTCCAAGAGCCTGCTTCTTATAGTCAAGCTCGACTTAATGATCAGTGGGTACAGGCCATGCAACATGAGCTTAAGGCTTTAGAAGCCAATCATACATGGGAGCTAACGTCTTTACCTACAGGAAAGAAAGCCATTGGTTCACGATGGGTTTATAAGATCAAACTTAATCCAGATGGTTCAGTTGACAAGTGTAAAGCTTGATTAGTTGCCAAAGGTTACAACCAAGTAAAAGGTGTTGACTATTTTGATAGTTTTTCTCTTGTGGCAAAAATGGTTACTATACGGATTTTTCTTGCTGTGGCTACTACTAAATTATGGCCTATTCATCAGCTTGACATTAATAATGCATTTTTGCATGGTTATCTTGATGAAGAAGTGTATATGTTACCAGGTGCTGGTTATGATAAAGCTGGACCAGATTAGGTTTGTCGTTTGAAACGATCTCTACACGATTTGAAACAGGCTTTTAGACAATGGAATAATGAGTTTACTTCTCA